ATGGAGCAATGGAGCAAAGCTTTCAAAGAAATTCTACGTCCTCACAAGGGTCCCACACCGACACACCTAGAGGCCCGGGTGCTCCTTGATCGAAAGACACAGACAAAGCTTCGGCTATCATGGAACTACCATGTGATACACCCAGAAGGATCGCGGAGGGGATCTGGAGCAGATCATCGGATGTTTGCCGAGGGTGAATAGGTGAAGAACCGGTCGACCATGAGAATCTTGGAGGTATCGGGTACACCGTGTCCACTCACCAAACTGCCCAAGGATTTTAGGACTTTGGTATCCGTATGTACTAAACTGAATAAAACCGTCTACACAGCCATGCCGGCTCCACCGAACCTGTCAACTCTAGAAACACTAGCTAGGACTCAAACCTTCCTCAATGCTTGGACCTCCGTTACACAAGCATCGTCGGAGCGATACAACATTACATATCGCATTCCGCCTGATACTCTCGTTAATTTTCTTGTTCTTGATACTTGTCCTCGATACGAAACAGTTTAACAACTGAGCTGTTCGTCAAACTCAACCCGAAACCGGCTGATCCACCGAAGGCCCGACATGCGCTTGTCTTGGTGAAGCCAACGATGAACGTAGAAGAAGCACACTTCCTCGCAGGTGTTTCTATGGAATTAAGACTCATGGCTTCAGCCCGACACCCTAAGCCCCGCTTGTGTCAGGCTAGAAACACTTGAGGTTGCTTGTCGAAAGCCTCCGACTGAAATCCACTCCGAATATGGAAGGTTTGAAAACATGTCAATGTTGGGGCTTGGCATGGGCTTCTGTTGCCTGGCGCTTACCTTGCTGGCTGTGTTTCGGAATCGGTCCACACTTACCATGTCGGGTTGCTTTGTTAGGTACTAAGTTCTTGGTTGCCCGCCGGTTTGAAGCTGTAGGGTTGGTGTCCACAGCATGTAATACCTTACTTCCAAGACGTGAAGTCGCAGACTCTAATCTAAGCCCGGGACCTTATGCCCGAGCTAAACCCTAACCCAAGCTGCAATCATCTCCCCAAAGCCCAGCAGCAGTGGCATAAACCGAGGAGGCACGAAGTCTAGTTTAAGACTTAAGCCTGCAGCCCGAAGCCCCTTAACCCTAACACCCTAAAGCCTGGTACTGCTTGTAAGGTGTGTGCGTCGCATCGACCCAAGCCCCGCCGCCGAAAAAAACACCTTAAAGCATAAGCATGGTCTCAGGAACCCAAATCCAGAAGCCTAGATCGGCCCTAAACCCTAAACCCTAAACCCTAAACCCTAAACCGTAAAGAGCCTCCACCAGCAGCCAGACCGTGATATCTCGAGCCAACCTCAGCTCCGCTCCACGTCACAAGCAAGATCGGAAAAACGTTCGAATGAGCTGTTTAGGGTTTAGGGTTTAGGGTTTAGGGTTTAGGGTTTAGGGGTGCATTTTGAGGTTCGATGGAATCCGATACTCAGTTATGCACGAATCCTTAACAAAAAGCCATCAGGTGGGGTTTCCGTTGGGAGACAGAGAGGGGGCTGAATGTGAAAGCATAATGTTAGTTTCCATTTAAGAAACCGGGTGACAATTACAAAACTAAATAACCTCCCGGGGCCAGGATTCCCAGGCGGAAGACGAGTTTCAATTGCGTGGAGATCCAAAGCCAGAATGGCCTAGACAATTGATCTTGGACCTGGGGTGGGAATAATCAATGGGATGACAATAAAACAAGCTCCCCGCCCAAAATCCCTTCAAAAATAAGCTGCCAGGCTAAGAAACCAGCAAAAGCTGGGACTAATTAACAGGACCCTAAAGTCAGCGAGAGTGCAGTTCCGAAGACACGGCTGGACTACCAGCTCTGGTATTCGAGAGCTGCAGGCTTTGGCAACAACCCCAGAGACTCCGGGTTCCAGGAATTGCAGCAGCTAAACGTGAGGCCTCTGCCACAAAGCCGACAAGGGTATCCCTTTGGAGCCACTATCTCTACTATTGCTATTATTACTACTCCTACTACTATTACTTCCAATACTACTGGTACTACAAACCCCAAACACGGCCAGAGATTTACTATTGCCACCCCCCAACCCAGACGCGCAAAACAACCTCCGGCTAAGGGGCAGGGTGGTTTAGTAAATAGAAACCGACATTGAGGCGAGAGGCCACTAACATGCTCTCCAGCTTCTTGGCATCTTTCAGCCCAGAAATCCAGGCAAGCCCACCCACAATTAAGCTTTTTCAGGGTTCCGTGTGCCGTACACGTACCACCGGGCTAACCGGCTCTGGGTATTTGATGCCAAAAGCTTTATCCCAACAGCCCAAGAGCTTCGAATTCGTCAAGCCAAATCCCAGACTTTCGCCATGGAAAGAGGCTACTCCAAAGGAGGTGAAGTCTCGGGCATAAGCCCTATGCCCCCGTTAGGACCGTTAGGCCCAAGCTACATTAGGCTTTGCATATGTTCAAGGCTGCAGATGTTGCAGACCCGTGCCCTGAAGTTGTCGACTAACCTTGTGGAATGTAGTGTCGTGCATCCCGGAGCGTGACCACATCGGCCATCCGAGAGGCGTCTCCGTCGAGGGCAGCGCATGCCAATCGAGCGAAGAGGCTGGGAGCAGATAGATGAGAAAGGGCACACCAACCACGACCTGCAGGAAACAACGCCCTCATTTTTTGGCCTCTTGGGTTACAGTACGTGATGTGCATACTACAGTAGAGACGTAATTAGGACTTGCAATCTACTATGCATCTTATCGCATAGGAACAGTTTTGAAGCCGAAAAGCAGGGAGGATCTATCATCGGCACCCTGAGAAGCAGATTCCCTGACCTGAGCTCTCTTTTGCTCCCTTCCCTGTCCCTTCCCCTATCCCCTCCTGCCTCGTGGAATCATTACAAATCATGACCCGAATCATCCATCCCAAAAACCGAGACCCCCAAATCTCCTCGAGTTTTGTCGCTTCCTACTTCTCCGTATCGACGGGCTTAAGGTTGAGCTAATAAGCCAGGTCATTAGAATCGCACGTCTTCTTGCCTAACATGTAGGATGATGAGGGAAGTGTTGATGCATGGGGATCGGGTGCGATATGTCCAACATTGTAATGTGAGCAGTACGCAGACAACTGTATAGAATCCTGCCCTAGTCTCGCGCAAGCCCTGAAATGCAAGGCCACACCTGCCACCAAAACTTACACCCCTCAAGCTCCAGAATACCCCCTGCACGTTGACAGAGAAGCTGCCTTGAAGATGCCAGCCTAAAGAAGGGGCCTTAACACTTAGACTAGGGCTTTGGGCTCCCTCAGAGTAGTAATATCATAAGGAACCCTAACAGTAATATGGGTAATTTTTCAGGCTAACCCTAACCCTAAACCCAAAACCCAAAACCCTAAACTCAATTTTTTAGGCTTCTACATTAGAATACCCCTGATCCGAATCTCAAAGCACTCTTTCAGTTCCTGGCCTGCAACACGAAGTTAAAGGCCTTGGAGGAAGGGTTTAGGGTTTAGGGTTTTTTTAGAGTTTAGGGCTTTTTAGGGCAGCTTAGGATGAGCTCAAGGGGTTAGGGCTATAGGGTTGAGGCATAGAGGTGGATCTTGACAAAGAGGGTTGTCGTTGCTAGTCGTTCTTGTTACGAAGATGGTTCTTTGTGTCGGTGGTGCTGTGACTGCTTTCGCTGTTCAGGCTCTTGGGGTTGTGTTTTCGTGCTCTTGTTGGTACTCCTGGGCCAATGTTTGTAGGCAGGAACGATGGAGCTGATAGCACGGTTACCATTACGCCTGCTGACTTTGTTGCTCTTGCTACAGCCGTCTCTTATCACACGCATCGTGTTGTTTAATAGTGGTAATATGATTACACTTGTTCTCCAGATGCCGGTTGCCAAGGTGATGCTGATGATGCAACTCATGATCGTCATTTGTGGTGGTGGTGGCGGCTTTTCCGAGACGGTGCGGCTCAGCCCGTCGCCGCAGCATGAGCGATACCATCAGAGGAACACAAACCAGCGTTGACACTGCTGGTGGTGGTGTCGGCGACGGCCACGACAGACAATTTCACGCCCTGCACCGTAAAACCGTGCAACCTGGGATCTATGGCAAACGCGACATTATGGCTTAGGGGGTTTAGGGTTTAGGGTTTAGGCTTCAGGTTGTGTGCCAGCGAACACACCTCAACAGCAGAGCCTTCTCGTTTAACGAGGGATGCAACCGGAGGAGCGTCCCCAAATCCTAAGCGAGAACTGTTTTCCACCTCATATCCCCGAAACCTTTTTGAACCTGAAGCGATGTGGACCCAGATGTCCGCAACCCTAAACCCTACACCCCTAAACCCTAAACCCTTAAACCCTAAACCCCTACACCCTAAACTCTACACCCTAAACCGTCTCGGGATCTGGCGATGAGGGGCAGCGAGCGCTTAAGCAGCTTCATGTCCAGGCTGCGGTCCTCCAGTAAAAAGGGGTCGAGTTCAGGTTTTCGTGCCGTTTATAGCCTGGGCCTAGGGTTCAGGGTTCAGGGTTTAGGGTTTAGAGTTCAGGGTCTTCGTGCCGTTTATAGCCCGGGCGTAGGGTTTAAGTTCTGGAGCTTTGGGGTTTTGAAGATGGATTTCCGTAGTGTTGTTGGGTAGTTAGTGAGGCTTGTGATCTCGAGTTCGGCAACTACCTCCATGTGCAGGCATGCACTGATCTTCATCACCGTTGTCTACTTTGTCCGGCAACATGTTACAGCTCTGGCAGGAGCATGACCTGCAAGCGGACTTTTGCAAAGCCCTCTGTGGACGGGTATAGGAGAATCCGGTGGACCTGTAGTGGCGCCTCGGAGCACGAAGGACACAATTCCTTGGCACAGTAATCTCGTCTAACAACGAACTCCGTGCTCATGGGCGCAGATTGCGGTAATCAGTGTAGGCCTTGCGCGACCTTTTGCACCCGTCACTGAACATAAAACTATCATAGTCTGCGTCCTCACGTTGCAAAGGCAAGGCCTACCTCAAAGCCGGGGACGGCGTTAAAATGGCTGGCTCTACAAGTAGACCTCAGTAGACCTCGACGTGGTAGCGGTCGGCCTTCTTCATAGCCTTGGCGAACTCTGCCCAATCCTTTCCGGCCTTCTCCGCGATAGGTCCGAAGCACTCTGCCATGCCAGACTCCATGCCTTTCAGGGTTGTTATGGGCATAATTTGCTGATAACTAGCACCATTCATCATGTATAGACACATATGTACGTTCATTGTATTTTTTGTATCTATTTGTGTAGTTGCTTATATACTTCTCTTGTAACTATATTCATATTTATATATTATTCTGTTTATGTGTATGTAGAACTCCATGCCTTTCAGACCGCACATGTAGACGTGTGTCTTCTCGTCCTGCATGAGATCCCAGAGCTCATCCGCATACTCTGCCATCTTGGTCTGGATGTACATCTTCTGGCCCGCTGCATTCTGATGCTGACGGCTGACGGCGTAGTCGTACCTGAACTGGTCCGGGTAGTTCTTCTTGTAGTCCTGGTGCTCGTCATCGTAAAGGAGAGACTTGGAGTAGGGAACTCCCATGAAAAGCCAGGCCTTGCCCTTGAACTTTCTGCCATCTCCGCTAGCCCCGGCGTCGTCGTGGAAGAGCAGTCGGCAGTAGGATCGCATCGGGGCGATGCCCGTGCCTGTAGCCAGCATGATGATGTTGGCCTCTGGGTCCTCAGGCAGAAGCATCTCGGCTCCAGTGGGGCCAGTGATCATGACGTCATCTCCGGGCGACATGTCGCAGATGTGGTTCGAGCAAACTCCCCGATAGACCTGGTTCTCAGGGTAAGCCGTGCCAGCTTTATCGGGCTTGTCCTCACCCTTCTCGCGATTGGCAAACTTGCCGTCCACCTCGACCACGCGCTTCACGCACAAAGACACGGTCTTGGAGTTCTGATTGTCCCCGACTGCCGAGGAAGCAATGGAGTACAAGCGGATCCGGGCCGGGGTTTCGCCCTTCTTGTCAGGACCTGGTGCGATGACTCCGATGGACTGTCCCTCAATGTAGGGCACCTTGCCGTCGTGGTCGAAGGTCACATGGCAAGTCTCCCAGTTGGCATCCCCAGTTTCCTCGGTCAAAGTCTGCGGGTGCACATCGTTTTCGATGACCTTTCCTGGGTACGGGGCTTTCGGAGTGAAGAGGTTCCATGGAATCTCCTTGCCGTGGACAACCTTGACACCCTTCTTCTTCACGGCCGCCCGACGGGTCGTTGCAGACTCGGTGGGCCTGGCCAGTGCCGCAGCAGTCGCCAGCAAAGCAGCTCCAGCCAGCGGGGCAGCGGCTCCCGCAGCGGAAGAAGCGCCCTGCGTGGCGCCTCGCAGCTGTGCGGGTGCGGAGGCCGCATGTGGAGTGGAAGGAGCCAGAAAGGCACAGCCGCCTAGCAGGGCAGCGGCTCCGAGCGTTGCACCGACGGCAGACTGCGCCATGTTTGCTGCAGGAACAGAAGAGGCACGGTCACTGAGCTACTTTGCAACTTGAGCCCTACCCATAGCAGCTAGGTGTCCAGGAGTTTAAAGCGGTGCGGGAGTGACAGACTGGGATTTACCGACAGTTTAAGGCTAAAGGGGACTGAGTAAGCGGGGCTATCAGTAACAGATTGCTCTGAAGTTATTTCCGATAGCCTCCTTTACTACTGCACTTCCAAACTTACTCGTGATTTCCCCTGATTCTCTAGGTAGGGCTCAGGTTTAGACCCCAAACTCTCCCCCCAACACCCTAAACCTTGAACACTAATCCCTAAACTTTAAAATCCATAAAAGCCCATAACCCCCAAACCCGAACGCAACTACATAAACCGAAACCCCTATAAACCCCAAAAGTCCTAAGCCATAAAAGCTCTAACCTAAAACACCCTAAACCCAAAAAGCCGATAAACCCTAAACCCCCAAAGCAAAGGTACCTGCTGGATTTTCCATCGCCGCCACCCCAGCAGGGGAGGCAATGCAAAGAGCAGGCCGATCCCCCAAAACCTCGGGAAGTCTGGAGGTTAGGGTCTTGGCTTGGGGTTTAGGGTTTAGGGTTTCCACAACAGTCTAGAGATTAGGGTTTTGGGGTTTTAGGTCGAAGGGTGTAGGGGTTGAAGTGCTTATTAAGTTTTAGTGGGTTCTTTTAGGGTTTAGGGTTTAGGGTTTAGGGTTTAGGGTTTAGGGGGCTTTTGCGAATCCTGCTCTGGATTCTTTAGCTGCAATCTTCAAGCTCCTAGGTTTTGCCTTTAAGACGGGCTGGTAGTGATGCCTCGGGGTTCTTGTGCGGAATAAGTAAGAAGGAAGTAACGCTCCTTGTGATTCCCAAGTTCCTTTCTGGGTAAGCATGTTGTATGGATTCCTTCGGCCCCGTTTTCGTCAGGTCTGCTGGCTTACAGGCTTTAGTTTTAGCAATGTTCGGTTTTGGGGCGTCAGGGCTTGGAGGAGAAGCCTCAGCAGCTCAGAAACGCTTTCCGATCCTGCGCAAACCACCGACCCTGGAAGCTACACAAGAGCATTGGGCGTTGTGTTATTATGCCATTCTCTGTGTTTCTGTAATCCGCAAGCCCTGAAGCCGAACGCCGCCTGCATCTCTGCTCCTCAAGAAGGGTTTATGGGTTAGGGTTCAAGATAAAATTAGGGCCAGTCAGGCTGAGCCACGTGATGGTTGAGTTCGCCACAGCCATGATTCCAACTGCTGCGTTCTTGCCAACCCTCGCCTGTCATCGGGGTGGTCTATGGAAGTACTCAGGAACAGTTCTTCGTAACTCCTGTAAATTTGGTGATGGGCACTTACTGGTTTGTGTGCTTCTTAGGGTTCGGTTTTATCGGCCACCTGCCTGGCGGATTCGGTGTTGGGGTTCAAGGCGTAGGGTGAGTGCTGTATTGGCTGTCGGTTCTTAGGTAAACGAAACCCTGATTTCCAGCATATTCAAAACATGGAACATTGCAATTAAGGGGCATGAAGAAGCAAGATGATTCCTTCGCAATTCCAAGGAATTCTTTCGTATGTTGCCATACCCAGGAATACTTCATGAAAACCCGGCTTCAACACCCCGTTCTACATGCTACCTCCTGAGGCAGGCGCAGGAAATACTTTGAGAACAGCTAATTGAGCAAGTGCAGCAATCCTGAAATATTATCAGAAACAGCCTGGCAAGACTACCCCTTTATGAAGCCTCAGACAAGAGGTTTTGAACCATCATCTTACACGTTTTGCATCCTTTTCTCATGTCCATAGCACTCAATCAGAGGAAGCGCTAGCCTGCTGAGCACCTCCGAAAAACAACTTTGAGCTTCGGAAAATACGGAGCCCGGAATAAGATAAGGGTTCAGAGCTGACAAAAACCTCAAAGGAAGGATATTTGCTTTACAGACTGCATCTACACAAAGGCCCCAGGGGCTGTAGAACCTGTAATTTCTTTGCCTTCAAGGGGTTCCTATTTTAGGGCTTTGGGCTTTGGTGCCAGAGTATAGACTGTATTCTTAACCTTCGAACCTTGAAGGTTAAGTAGCCTTCGGGATTACACAGGCAGTATGGTAATCTACCTAGCAAAACTAAAAATCTCCTCGTTTACCAGTAGGTCATAGAGACCCGCAACTTTCATCTCTTCCCTAGATGCCTCGAAGTCTTCGATGGTCGGGATCCACGGCGGTAGCCTCCAAACTTCGAATAGGGGCTTTCTGCTAGGGTTTAGGGTTTAAGGTTTAGGGTTTAGGGTTTAGGGCTTTCTGGATATGGGTTTTCATTGTTGACGGCACTTCCTAAGGGTTGGCAGAAGTGGTTTAAAGGTGTCTGCAGGGTTTCAACGCATCTGTCTTTGTGTTAAGAGGGAACCTTTGTCCCTATATTAGATTAAATGGAGCGAACAGAGCATCCTGCTTTCCGAGGTTTCGGGGTGAGGCGCTTAGGGTATGTGTATTCGCTTTCGGGGGGTTTAGCTGGCATGGATGCAGGGATTTGGGCTTCGGGCAGACGGGGCCGCTCAGCCACGAATAAATTTGTACTGCCCATGAAACAATTATCCTAAGCCCAAACGCGAAACTCTAAACCTTAGAACCCCAACCCTAGATCCTGAACCGGAATCCCTCGGACCCGAATCCCTATAACATCCAGCCCTCAGTCTGCAACCTCATCCGCCCTATAAGCCCATCAACTACGGTAGCTTTACAAAAAGAAGGGGATCGCATTTGTTCGGAAGTTCCATACATTCCGGAAAGCCCGAACAGGGGAATTTTCAAGCCAACGCGGCTATTGGGCAATAAATCCTGCATTATGTCAGGGGCCGCTACAGCAACTTGGGAAACTCCAGGCATGATTCAGTGGATGAGTATATGCTCGAACCTGGAAAGTGCCAAGCCGACAAGCTGAAAATCATCATCACCGTCAGCAGCAGCACAAACATCTCCATGTATCTTCCGTACCTTGTGCGGTGCCATAGTCACCGATGTCACAACTGTCATCCCGGGGTAGGATTTGTTTGCGCGCCCCGGTGTTCTCTCGGCGTAGAGTCCCGCTTCCTCTCCAATCCGCTCGGCTGTCGAGTCGCAGGCTTCAGGTTTAGGGACGGTTTAGGGCTGAAACTTTGAGGTTTAGGGCGTAGGGTTCAGGGCTTAGGGTTTAGGATTTAAGGTTTCAGGGTTTAGGACTTAGGGTTGGTTCATTAGGGTTCAGGGTTTAGGATTTGAAGGTTCAGGGTTTAGGGTTTGAGCTTTAGGGTGCCACCGGGCGGCAGCCATTCCATCGCGAGCTTTTCGATCAGGAGCAAGCCGGTGATGCTCGCGGCCGTGTGGCCTGAAGTCAAAAGGGTTTAGGGTTTAGGGTTTAGGGTATATACTCAAGGGACTAAAGGAGGGACCCTGAAAGGGGCCCTTGGGGTTACATAGGGGCTTTATGAAACTATAGAAGGGGTATATATAAGGGGTTTTTAAGGGTATTTGGATTAGGGGTCCCTTCTAGGAATCCCCCCTATTGTCCCTTAACATACGGGTTGTAGGGGAATCATCTAGCTAATTGCTTCGGCTCCTGCATCTTGGGGATGTTGATTTCGTGTTTTGTCGGCCAAGGGTGTCTCTGGTTTAGTCCAGACCCGGTCGTCCAGGACGGAGGTTCTGGAAACACAAGAAGCAGGTCAGGGCTTGCCTTAACCTACCAAAACCTACTTCTTTGCAGGTTCTTATTCTAAACCCTACTATGGAGTTTATAGGGACCCCCAAACATATGTAGGGTTTGGTAGGTTAAGGTAGGGCTCCTGGATTTGGGTCGCAAGCATCTGTGAAACACATAGGGTTAGTTAATTATTAGGGTTTAGGGTTTAGGGGTTTAGGGTTTATCTATCCTCGTCCCAAGTGCAGCCCGCTGCAAAGCAGAAAACATGGTTCTCGAGCAAGCGTTCGAGAAAGTCGGGTTTAGGATTCTCAGGGCCTCTAGATTTCGGAGATGCTGGCTGTAGTTTTCAGAGTTTAGTAATCAGCGCCCTGGTGCTACATTAGACCAACCCGCAAACCTAGGCGTCCGTCAGCAGAAGACTGAGACAACGCCACGACACCAACCGTGATGCATAACTTAAAACAGCCTTCCACCATTCAGGGAGTTGAAAGCACTTGCCTGAACACGTCTTTCACAAACCCGTGGCCGCGAAGGCACCCATCAATGAGGCTGCTGAGGCTTCCCAATGCAAAAACGATTTTATGAAGTCACAAGCATTCGACCCTAGCTTGAACCCTGAACCGTTTCGGGCCTATGCTTGGTAGGACCCAATGCGCCTGAGGCTCAAGTCTACCGCAGGTGTCCCGTTCATGCTTTTGGGGTGCATTTCTCATTTCCGGGTATTGGGCTCTGTTCGTCAAAGCCCAATCCTAAACCCTAAACAGCAAAGTGGCCAAAGGTCGGGCCCAGCATATCCCGGCGGAAAAGACTCTCAGACACACGGCCCCACATGGCTTCGAGAACTGCGGCCAAGAGCTGGCAAGATTTCCGCAACAAAGAACGCGCAGCTTCCGGGCACGGGAAGAAGGGCTTAGGATTTTGCTGCTGATGGCCTTTTTGGCTGGTCATTCGCTCTCAATCCAAAATGTCTTTTGCGCCAGACAGAAGCCTGCATTCCCCTTGAGCCAAGGGGAGCCATGAAGCACTCCAATCTCCAACTGCGTCGAGCAAGGGTGTCCTCAGAGTGTCCTTCAGCAAGCCGTGCTAGGCAAACGAAAATAGCAAGGTCCCAAGCCGAAATCTAATTCAAAAATCCAGAAGGCACAGAACGACACAAGCAAAGCAAGACAACGTCCTGGGTGTCATCTTTCAGGCTCTCTTCCGTGCCTGGATGTTCCGGTGCTTAGCTAGTGCAAGGGTCGTGCCACGCCTTCCACTTGGTCCCTAAACCCTAAACCCTAAACCCTAAACCCTAAAACCCTAAACCCTAAACCCTAAACCCTAAACCCTAACGTGCAGTTTTTTTGGGCTCGTT